ATATATAATATATTTAAATATAAGATATTTAGAATGTTAATCCTTCTTTCTTGTCGCACTAAGCGTGACGCTCGGCTCCCGCTCAATTAAGGTCTTTGATGCACAAATTGAGCGGGAGTTTTAAAATGTACAAGAAATAAATTAAAATCGCCAAAATAGTATCTAAGTAAGTAAAGACCTTTTATAGAGTACAAACATTAAATGTGTGCAACACTTTCCACTATTTACTACAAAATAGTGTTAATTAAACAATAGAAAACAATAGAATTAGCAGTAATTTAGTAGTATTTAGTGGTATTTATGTTGCACAGTTTTAGTGTCTGTACTCTAACTTTATTAGCAATCTTAAAAAAAGACTAAAACTTTGACTTTTTCACGCCTCACGGCTAATTTTTTTTCTCATTTTCACGACTCACGGCTAATTTTTCAGCCATTTCACGGCTCACGGTTAACCCCATTGAGACCTTCGCGTAAACTACTCACCCCACTCCTGCTTGGAATTTATTTTGCACATACCTCATCAAATGTACCGTATCGCACTTGTAATGGTTTGGATGCTGATCTTTGTATTTTTGAAAGTTTGCAAGGTCAACGCCTGCCTTGTCGTTGTAYGGAACCAAATCTTTGTTGGACCATATATCGAGCCTTTTCAAGATTATTCKTATGTTTATCTTTTGGTAAATCTGAAAACGGAATCGTTTCGAATCAGCTGTGTTTATCTACAGATGTGCTTTTTACGTATTTTTTGCGTAAGCGCACGATTAGTCTGCATGGATCACGAACTGCTGCGCAAGCTGCTGCGCGTGTTACGTTTATTAGTGGCAAGMCCTACGAGAGATACGCAACGTTTACGCGTGGATAGGCGTTTAATAGRTCATGCATGCGTATTCGTACACAAAAGAAATCTCAAGCTTTCTACACACTAACGCACTAACAAATCTAACGTACTCATGTTTGTAAACTGCACGGCTGCTTAAAGCGCCTTCAATAGCAGTCTGTCTAAGTCCCTCACTAACTATGTGATCCAGATGTAATTCAGATCATTRGTCTGCGAAATCTGGAAAGTATCTAAGTACAACAAGAAAAAGTACTTCCTCTTGAGGGTACGGTTTTCCTCTCGATTGAGAGTAAGTTGACTAGAGCGAATTTCGTATGACTGTGCAAAAAAAAAAACACGGTACGTTCGTGCTGTGTCCGTACCGCGCCGTAGCCGTGATGCATTGGAAAATCTTTACTTTCATTTGAAATTCTAGAAGGCGAGGTTCCGTGACCGTGCCGTGCCGTGTCCGTGTTGTGATCCGTGCTTTTGCACAGTCATACGAAATCCGCTCTCTAAGTCAGGTCGAGAAAACAAGAACCTCACCATGTCGACCGCGTTGATTAACGTAAGAACTCGTCGCGTCATGTCCTTCTTGTYACTATTG